TTAGACAAGTAAAAAAGAATAAGTAGGACGCATTGCGGCTCAATGGGTTAATTATGAAATTGATTTTACTCATGCAATTTCTAGAGAAAATGAAAGTAGCTTCAACAGAAGTTGGTAGAATTGAACTACCAATTTTTGGATTTTGATAGACTTTGGATCTTGATAATTCTACACATTATAATTTAATTGCCTGATTGCCATCAGTGGACAGTATTTAATATTAGTACATGGATTAAAAACATTCATTGGCTTAAAAAGGTTTTCCTCTATAGCTATACTAATATAAATAGAAAGCACTTTAAAGTAGCAGATGGTGGTCAACTGGCATTTTATATCGTAAAAATTATTTGAAATAACAAGTGAAACTAAAATCTGAAATTTCAACCATTTTCTTTCGAGGAAGACTGTTTCTCGTATTAATATAGTATGGGCAACTTAATTGCATACACCAGTTGCTAAAATTGTCCACTACACAGTACAAATAGACTGTTTATTTCGCTTTGTTTTGACCTAGCGGCTAGCTACTCTATCACAAATTAATATTGAACATATAAACAGTATATTTTTACCGTTACTTACAAATAACGTTTTTCCAAAATTTCCGTTAGGTTTGAATATTCGTTCCCTGTCTTTCACTAGCCAGGATGATTCTTGCCACTTGAGCAACTCCAAACAAATGTTAAAATGTCGAAGAGAAGGCAAACACCAAGCCAAACTCCAAAGCAAAAAGCTAAAATATTTTTTTCGAAAATCAGGGGGATGTGAAAGTGGTAGCGGGCTCAAAATGAGCCTTGCTCAGTGGTAATTATCACGAGGATTTAGGACCAGTGGCGTCATTCTGGCGTCAGCAAACGTGAAAATCCTTGAAAATCCGCCATGTTTTTGGCGACACTTGTTTGACTGAAGAGAGATAGGAGCACCTCCTCCAGATATATTATAGCTCAGTGGTTGGGTGTGTGGTCATCCTCACTGATCTCAAAAATATGGCGGACTGTCATGAATAGCGGACACTGATTGGTCCAATTTAAAGTTTGCATTATAGCGACTGAATGACGACAGCGAAATAGCAAAAATTTCTTGATTTGATCACAATTTGATGATTGATAAATTTCTTTCAAATATAGTTCATTTTTGCTCGCATTTTTGCAAGATTTTGTAAATTTCAAACGCATTCTCAGAAAGAATGGGCGAAAGAATCGGCTAAAAGAAGGAAGCCTACGTTAACGAAGGTAACTTTGTTTTAAATATTGATTTTATAATTGCTTTTAAACCCGACGGCCTTTGCCGTATATGAAACAACTAAACAAGAGAGCATATAATTTCAGTGTATCTTTAATATTGATTTCCTTTTTTATTATATTGAATTTTTTAAATAAAAAAAGTAAATTTATTTGCATGCGAGAATTTGAAATAATTTCATTGCAAACTCAAAATTTATCGATAAAGCCATTTAAGTTCTTTGATAAAGCCATTTAATTAATTTAAAGGCAGTTTAGTTTTATAAAGAACACTTTAAAACGTTTTGCGAAGCGTTTGTGGTTGAATTTTACCTTAAATTGAAGCTTATATTACGTATAATAACATACCTAACATATATATGTTGGGAAATTGATAATTTTGTTATTAAAAGTGATATTTTTAGGCGATTTTGGCGATTTTTCATTTATAAGAATATTCTTAAACGATTTTTCATTTATAAGAATATTCTTAAAAAATTATCGTGTTACCATGACAACTACTTTAGATACTTCATGTTCGGAAAATACAATGGTTTTGTCAGCAAGGCGAGGGTTTCTGCATGCATGTATTTTCTAGTATAATTATTGTGAATTTCATAAGGATTGTCATTGTTTCCTTTAAATATATTACACTTTATTTCACTTACCCCCACGAAAACACGATTTCCGCCATATTTTACAGTCTTGTTTGCTTTTTATCGCCGAGTCTCGCAAATATTATCGAGTTGTTGTAGTTTAGCTTTACATAATCATAATTAGCAATTTACCTGGGGTGGTGCATGGTTATTTTCTTGTAAAATATTATACTTAGACGGGAAATGTTATCGCTTTTCCTTTTCGGGAGTTAGAGCTATGTCGACACTGCTGTTTCAGGGCGGGGTCATTTTCAGGACTTTCGCCCCGGATTCAGGTTTTGGCACATATGCCATGTTGACGGCCATGATCATTTTAGCCGAAAACAGTTGAGATTACCTGTTCTAAATGAAATACATACAAACCCATATACAGGTCCTAGACTAAAAGTAAAATCACACACATTTTTGGATACTGGTAATTCTAGAATGTTTTATAATCGGAAAAACAACGAATAAAATTTTTCCAAAATCATAACATTGGTACATCTGAACTCTTTCTAGTTCTAAAATGTAAACAAAGAAGAATATGCTGTAGATATATTTGTATTTTGTGAGCTGTTATCTGAAACGCTTCGTAAAATGTTTTGAAATATTCAGTCAAGTTTTCAACTAAATTTTCAAAAGTTCATTGAATCGAGTGGGATGCAGATAAAGCAACGGAACAACAACAAAAACATATTCTGTAACGCAAGGTATCGCTAATCAAATGGTTTGGTACGGCGTTCACTGGCTGCGAGATTCCAGTAGTTTGTATGCACGATTAAAATAATATTTATTCTGTTTTTAACGAGAAAACGTTGTGTGACAGTGTGAAGTGCGTGCATTCAGCCGATAATCCACCAAATGATACATCTAAGAAAGAGTATTTTTTCTTGCATGTACATCAGTTACTATATATAGACGCCTTATATAATACTCCCGGCGTACCTAATTGATGAAAACCGATCATCGGTTTATCATCATCATTAATTACTTAAATGATATCGACTGACATTTTTTTTTTTTAATTTTTTATTTTTTATTTTTTTTTTTTTTTAAATTTTTTTTTACGCTTTTTCAAATATATTTATTGAGAACATTACATTATATAATTAATATTATATATAATTATATATAATTAATATTATGTATAATTAATATGAACTCAAATTCATTGGCCAATTGATGGTCACAAAACGTTATGGCGATAGTTATCAGCTCGATTAACAGAGTCTTTCTTTGGCTAGTAGCGAACAAAGAATCTGTTATGACATGTGCTCTGAAATGGTCAATTTTTAATTGTTATGTAAACGAAAGTTGTCTATTACTGTAACAATCTAAATAAGTCGGGCCTTTCATTGTGGTCCTATACGCAGATACATGTACGCCTGGCGTACCTATTCTTAACTTAATAAAACAAAACAACATTAGGTCAACTCCTCTTGACCTATTCTATTGCTTTGCTATAGGTCTCTAATTACTAATAATTACTAACCATTACACCTTTAATTTACTAATATTTTTAATGATAGGTTGTTTTTCATCCCTTCCTCTTATTCGCTTATTTGAATAATGTAACCGTTTAAAAAATTATTTGTATATATATAATGCACGCTTGTAAATAAGTTTAATTGCTCTGAAGATGTTGTGAACAATACAACGAAACGTTAGCCAATAAATTTTATATTTTTGTTATGTCTTGTCTGAAAGTCATTTGCTGGGCTTTAATTTTCATTTTTAAATTACGCTTTCCACCCGGTGTATCAATCGCTGCTGTTTTAAAACAAAATGAGTTCAAATTATTGAGTGATTTCAGTTTGGTGTTGAAATAAATTGGCTCTCCTTTACATTTTAAGTTTTTTGTCTTAAGGTGGCTCCCTACAGTTTTGATTGTACAGCACACAATTGTATTAAAAACCCCCATTATTTTCTCATCTTGCAAAGTATGATCACGAAACTCGGCCACATAACTGCTACAATATCTCGAATTAATAGATAATGTCGTTAAAAATCCCGGTTGCCATGGTAACAAAGCGATTTTAAAAAGGGCCAATTTGCAGATTCTTTGATAATTTTTTGAAAATTTCTTCGGTAAAACTTTTTAATTTTTTTCACACAGTAATGTTATAAATTTTTTTTTTAATCCTCAAAAAGCCTAGTCTCCGTCGCAGCCGCTCTTTGTGTCGAGTTTTTTTTTCACACGAGCGGCTGCTCACTCGAGCACAACATTCCATTCCTGAAAACAACCAATCACAGTAATGCTTCTAAATTTCGGAAACATGACCTTGGACTTATTAAGATATTTATGTCGCTAAATTTATTTAGACATTTATGTCGCTAAATATGATTGGCTAACGTAAGACAAAGGGAATGGAATGTTGTGCTCGAGTGAGCAGCCGCTCGTGGGGAGAAACCTCGACACAAAGAGCGGCTGCGAGGGAGACTACAAAAAGCCCTATTTTTGGAATAAAAAGATTCGGCTCGTACTATTCTTAAAAATTTCATATTTTACGCACTTCGAGATTACAGGAAAGTGTGTGAAGTTTTAAAAATTTTTACCGAAGGAAACACCAGAAAAATACATTTATTTTTATCTATGTGACGTCACAAAAATCAGGATTTCAATTTCCTCGCGCGACCAGCAGACAATCCCACGAAGGCCCGCGCGTGCATATCACGACGCAATTTTAAAAACCCAACACGCGCGTATTATTATTTTTTATTATTTTTCGGTCCATTACACGAAGAAACATGTTATCTAATTGGCAAACTGTTACACTTTGATTTAACGTTAGACGTCTAAAGTAAAAACGAGCTTCTTCGTTGATTTTTAACTTGTTCTCTTGTAAATTTTTCAGTATTTTGAATAAAATTCCCGCCTATTTGCAAAATGTGAGTCCACAATCATGTTAAAAATGCTTGTAAGCGGTCGATTATCACTCTAAGTTAAGGATTTAACTACAGTGATTAACGCTAATCATATAGTTATAATAATATATATAACAAATAATAGTTATATCAATATATCAATGCTAATCATATATTAAAGAAGTTTTTATACAACCGACCCCTGGTGTGAACGTGGACACCAGACAATGTGTTAAACAATGTATTGTTAATTAATTTAATTTATATATTATTCATTTAGGAGTTTTGAACAATTATGGCAAGCATTTTATCATCGGATTCACTGCTCAATATCGAGGATATCAAAATTATGGTTACATTGGATTGTCAATTCTCGCGCCATACGACACAAACATAACAATATTTAGCAGAAAACGAAGTGCACCACTGAACTATACCACCCATATTAAAGGAGGAGAAGTATTTGAGTACAAACTACCAGTATCTCTTCGAATGGAGGGTACAGGAAAGCAAATGAACGGTATTGAAATTTTGTCAACTAATAATATTTCTGTGTTATGTTTGAATCACTACTCCACTTCCGCAGATGGGTATCTGGCTTTACCAACCAATACTTTAGGTTTGACTTACGTCACTGCATCATATCAACCTTATAATTCAGACTCGCGAGCAAACCTTGCCATCATATCAGCTTATGAAAACAACACAATCACTTTTGTACTCAGCAAAAGTGCAGTCGTAAAATATCGCGGCCTCCTATACGATAAAGGTACACCACTTTTGTATGCAACCTTAGCTCTCGAAAAACTGGAAGCACTGCACATTTCAGGTTTGTCAGATTTATCTGGAACAATTGTTCTTGCAAGTAAGCCAGTGGTTGTGATATCCGGCGTAGATCGAGCAAGTCCATCTGGTTCTAAAGGATCGTATGATATGCTTGAATCATTCCTGTTACCTACCTCTTTGTGGGGAAAACAGTACATATTGACTACAGTTAGAACGTCTGATAAGAAAAAAGGGGATGTTTTTAGAATTTTTGCCTATGAAAATAATACTGTGGTTGAAAATGCATACTGGACCAAAGTTTTGTCATCAGGGTCATACACAGAATTGAAGTTGGAAGAAAATCTTGCTTCATTTGTTACATGTAGTAACCCATGCCAAGTGATTCAATACATCAGAGGCGAGTCAGTTGATGGGAAATATGCTGACCCTTCAATGATAGTTCTCCCATCCGTTAGCCAATTCGTTTCGTACTACCGTGTGGTACTTCCTTATGGTTCCCAGTATTTTGATTCAATTACAATAGTGATAAAAAATGAATACAGCGAGGGCTTATACCTGAATGAAATACAAATTACTGGCGCAGAGTGGAAGAAAATCAATGGAACGAATTATGTATGGAGAGTCGTTAGTTTTTCCAATCAAAATAGCGTTATAGTCTATCATACTTCGTCGGCAGTAAAATTTGGTCTCCTTGTATTTGGTTGGAACAATGGTGTTTCATACGCTTACCCTGGTGGACTTGCTTTATCGAACTTCTCAAATGGTAAGTTGTTTTCATTTCAAATTATATTCTGTGTTTCTTTGTTCACTGAACAATTAAAATGTTTTAAGTACAGAACATGCAGTCGTCTTTTTGTTCGGTCAGCCAAATAATCGGCACATGTGGGACACAGACATTTTGCTGGAAGACACTTTGCTGAACAGTCATTTTGTCGAATGGATATTTTTCCATTGGACATACTGTAGAAGACATTCGATTGGATAAAAACCAAAGCTTTTTTATCGTATATAGCAGTTTATATATCGTATATAGTATATAGTCAATCGCGGCGAAGTAGCAAAGATCACTCGTCTCAAATATACTTCGCGCTTTGGCTACGCGGCGAAGATCTCTCATCTCATCGTAGCACAAGGATTTTTTAGGAATTTGATGAAGCGTGGACAAAAAATCATCGTTAAAATCGGTGGTAAAAAAATATATTCCCTCTGTCTAGCTGAGAAATGTCTCGACCTTCTAGCCCGTATTAATAATAGATTACCTGATTTTTGCTGTGTTGTACTCAGGTGAATATGATGCTTGTGATGTTACTCTGAATGTATATCCACACCGGGCAAGCTTGAAAAATATGCCTGTCCACGGTCGGAATGGAACCTACGACTTTTGCAGTACTAGCCCAATGCTCTGCCAACTGAGCTACGCGGTCAGGTCGGTTCGAGTATGTGATATTTCGGAACAGAATCCAGTTCCTTCGATATCAATGTAATCTAATAATCATGGGCTAGAACTCCAAAGGTCGTAGGTTCGATTCCCACCGTGGACAGGCATATTTTTCAAGCTTGCTCGGTGTGGATATACACTCATAGTAACATCACAAGCATAATAAATTACCTGTATGTTAAAGCTTTGACATACGCTGTTTAAATTGGCACAGGCTTTGCCTCAACTAAATAGGGTAAGCCATGCTATATCGTTTGTAGTACACTGGTGCGATGATGGGTTTTACTTTTGCGGGATAATGGATAGTTAAATAATTAGAAAAATTAACATAAAATAGAGAAATAGAAAAAACTATTCCAACATGTTCAAAACGATTAGACAGCGAGTGTCCCCTCCTTTGCGCGGGTTTATATATTTCCAGGCATGCGAAAGGAAAGGAGGGACTGCCGACAACGCATCAAGAGACGAAATACGCGTTGCCCACACAACGCAAAATTCCCATTGGTCGAAATCGATACGCCTGTCAATCAAATCTGATACGTAGAAATTATGCTATAAATAATTTCCAGACTGAATGTTGATTTTATAAACATGACATTAACGGTTCCTATTGGATAGATTTAATTGCATATATTGTTTATGGAACGGCGTAGCCAACTTGACAAGAGCGAAAAGTGGGCGTATTTCGTTTCTTGATGTCTTGTCGGCAGTCCCTCTTCTCCCAAGGGACTGCTCGCGGTCTAAAAACGATTGGCTCACTAATCTGTACGCTGTGTGTGTACTGTATGTACTAATAAATCACTGCAAGAATTGAAGTTGCAAGGCATTAATGGTAATAATTTATTCGGGCCGGGCCAATATTCGTATCGCATGGAAGGAACGATATGGGAGAAAAACCATGGGGAAAATTACAGTTAGTCTGGGATTTGTAACATGGAAAGAGCTAACGCCCAGCGTCTTGTCGCTGATAAATAACGTTCCTTTAAACAATAATAGTTGATGACTGGATATTTACGAGACAAGTGTCTTTCGAAATTACAAGATATTTTGGGATGTGTAGCAAATGTTTCTAATGCTGCAGTTTACATACAGTACTTTCAAGTTAGCATAGTCAATATAATATTCCTTACTATGACGATATAACTAGTATACCTATCAGTAGTAAATGCTGACTTCGGCTTCTTGCTTCTTGCGGCCTCATCTTTCCACATTAACAACCTCAGTTTAAGTACAATCGTAAGCTTCTAACCCGTAGTAATTAACTGTAAGCTCAACAGTAACTTAATCGTTGTGACGTCATCATTGTAAATACAGGGTTCGTACAAAACTTGAAAGTCCTTGAATGTCCTTGAATTTGAAAACCAAAATTCAAGGCCTTGAATGTCCTTTAATATGTAAAGAAGTACTTGAAAGTCCTTAAAGTTTTCGTGTTTTAGTTTTTGGATATTTTCAAAAATTGTTTGACATTCAAAACGGACATTTTTTTTAATTGATTTTGCATGTTCATATCTGACAAAGCTGTTTGAAACTCATTAAAGTTGCGCTTTGAAAAATTCAACGTCAGATTTTACTGATTTCTAACCACTTTTCATCAGTATTTAGTCCTTGTATTTGCTGATTACATGACCTTGAATGTCTTTGAAAAGTCCTTGAATTCGAGTCTTCCTCACATGTACGAACCATGTAAGTATTATGAATAAATCCTTGTTTCTGTCACAAATATACTTCTTTGATCTTGACCGTAATGACAACCCAATCCCTAACTCTGGCTTTATTGTGCGCGAAACGTGAGAAACAATAACCATAAACTATATAATTCTTAATCCTATACCTGTACTATATTCTACCGTTACTCTAATATATGTGACATCAGAACGACAATATGGAAACTTGTACCCATTTTTGGAACCTTTTCACTAGACCACAATATCAACCAATAATTATTTTAAGACCACACAGATTATTAAATGCTTTTAGTTACACAACAACGATACACTGTATTACTATTAAAGACCATGCACAAACATTACTTCAAACTATCACAAGACCACAACTGTACAGTGAGTGCGGTACAGGTATCCAAAACACGAGCAGCGAGTGTTTTCTCAGATTCAAAAGACGAGAGCGCAGCTCCAGTGTTTTATATCTGATAAAGCTTGTTTTCCACAAGCGAATTTCTTCGCGCGAAGCGCATTTTTTATTGTTAAAATTGAAAAACATTTATTATAAATCTAACTAGTTCCAGCCGAGAGCTTATAAGACAAAAGATTCGCGCGACAAGTTTTAACTAGTACTTAAGAGCGTGTGTCTCTAAAAACCGCCCACTGACTTGGGGCTCGAAAAATAAATTTCTTCGAAATTTTTACCGTGAACTACATTTACTTTAACAACAAACAAATGCTATCTGGAATTTTGAAAATATATTTAGTTTCAAAGTTTTAGCGATTTTTTGGTCTCGCACCGTCGCGGGAGAAATTCGCCGGCTAATTAAACGAAAAAAATGGGCTGAATTTAAATAAACATAATTTCAAAAAGTTTTTGTTCAAAATTTCTGATATTCACACTTAGCACCGGAAAACTATCGTAATTTCATCTAAACTAACTTAGGTTTTCAATTGCGGAGCATTTGTGACAATATTTAGCGACAAAAACGCCATGTCAAAATACGACTTTCAAATCCTACTATTTTCTACGCTGAATTTCTTAAAAGTGGGACCTAATTACATACAGTGACTAGTATAATTGGAAAAAGGACACTTTGAAGTACTAAAAACCGAAATATAACTCGTCTGCAAACGCGATTTGAACAATTGAGAGCGTTTGAAATTTGATACTCTTTATGGCCTTTTGTTTACATTAGAATATTGCTGAGGTCAGACGTCTGAGTTCGTGTCACTGCTAAAAGTGCGCTGTAGTTCTGCCAAATAACCTTTTCCTCAATTAAGTTTATAGAAATATAGTACTAATCTATATTTCTTTGTTTATGTCCACCGTAAATGGTTCCAAGGGATTTAAAATAATAGGCATGTTAAAATAAACAACTTGACCAAATTAATATGCTACTCGGGGAAAAGCCCGCATGCAGCGCGAATTCTATATGTGGCACATGCTATATTTAGTGTGATTTAGAGTTTGCGTTGCAGCATACTAAACTATTGCTTAGTTTGAAAAGTCTATAAATGTGCGAAGTTTAGTTCTGGAACCTTTCTGCGAAGTTGATCTTTGAATTATATTGCTGTAAAATTTGAGAGTTAGTATGGATAATCTGTGTTCTTTTAATGCTATCAATTCTACTGTATGCGGAGGGTGTCGGGGTGAATCAAACATTCAAAACCATCTTTCAAGTTGCTGTTTGTCGAAATCTGGTTTTAGCGAGAGCGAGCTGATTTTGAGAAGAGCAGAATTTTTACATGAAATATCAAGCGAAGAAATACGCTCTATGACAGTATGCCCAAACCACCGGTACAACTTGGGCCGATACTGGAGACCTCGTCTAACATGCCAACATTCTTCTCACACTGCGCCTGCACGACGCTGCAAAGAAAAAATTTCATTAACCTGGAATTATGACGGGATGTATTCCAAATTTATGGAGTACTTGTGCAAATTGGCTCTCGTAAGTGATAAATATAGTCCAAATTAGAGATACATAATCGCATTGTTAATTTGTTATAGGCAATATAATTAGAGTTGCACCGCGAATAGGCCAGTGCGGCATTCGCATGGTAACATTGGAAATTAGAGGTACTGTATACTGTAGTATCACAGCGACATGCTGATAATTAGCTTTACTAGCCCGAGTAAAAAGTTGTACCGGTGGTTTGGGCATACTGGTCATATAGCGTATTTCTTCGCTTGATATTTCATGTAAAAATTCCGCTCTTCTCAAAATCAGCTGGCGCTCGCTAAAACCAGATTTCGACAAACGGCAACTTGAAAGATGGTTTTGAATGTTTGATTCACCCCGACACCCTCCGCATACAGTAGAATCGATAGCATTAAAAGAACACAGATTATCCATACTAACTCTCAAATTTTACAGCAATATAATTCAAAGATCAACTTCGCAGAAAGGTTCCAGAACTAAAATTCGCACATTTATAGACTTTTCAAACTAAGCAATAGTTTAGTATGCTGCAACGCAAACTCTAAATCACACTAAATATAGCATGTGCCACATATAGAATTCGCGCTGCATGCGGGCTTTTCCCCGGGTAGCATATTAATTTGGTCAAGTTGTTTATTTTAACATGCCTATTATTTTAAATCCCTTGGAACCATTTACGGTGGACATAAACAAAGAAATATAGATTAGTACTAGTATAACAAAAAGTTAGTGAAATTGCTGCCGTACGTGTATTCGCATTGCAAACTTGCGAAAAAGTTGGCGCCTTGATTACCTTATGTTTGACATGAAGGCCTGGTTACCAATCGCGTCTCAATATCAGTACTAGCCAGTGCGCTAAGAGGCATTCACCCATAGATATAGGAGAACTAGATTGCTGACTGTAATGTATTCTATTACGCACGCGACGCGCCAACATGAGCATTCAAAATGGCGGCTCAACCGGTCAAAAATCATAGAGCGAGATAGGGAAAAACCATGTTTTTCGCATTTTACGCCTGCGTACTGTTTCCGATCCCATTCAACCACCTTTTTTGGGGAAGAACTAACTGGTGTGAAGGTTTTGGATGAATATTTGTACAATTTAAGTTGAATAAAGACGAAATAATCGATCGCTAAATGTTTTCTGAAAATCATCACATGGTCGGTTGAGCAGTTCGAGACATTTTATTGCAGAAATGAAAGGTTTTGGTTCTTTGGGTGCTTTTTTTCTCGAGGATCTCGGTTAGGATATATAACAGGGAATAATATTGTGAAGTATTTTGAAGTTTAAAACCTATTTTGCTTGATTTACCTGATCTGCTGGTGCGAAAACTATGATGCTCTGTTTACAAGTGTTTTAGTGTGACTTTGATGACCTTGCTGCTGCAGATGTCAAGGGATCTCAAGTCTATATGGCCTGGACAGTGAAATGTGATGAATCAAACAGGATTTTAAAGAGAACAAGTGACAGCAAAAGTTTTCAATGGAAACTATTTTGAAGAAACTGGCTAATTTGTCTAGTATGCATCAAAAACCTTCACAGTATATCTAGTTCTCTCCAAGAAACCTGATTGATTCATCATTGATATAAAGCAAAAATAGATGGGACAGCATATTCTTTCAGCTATTTCTTGGATTGGCCTTTTATTAATTGCTTTCCCATACTAACCCAGTAGTAAGCACTCTCCCCTTGACAAGTAAAATTATCTGGTGTTAGAGTAAAATAATAAAGTAGGGTGCAACTCAATGGGTTAACCGGACCCATGGCCAGTTAACCCATTAAGTACCAACACTCTCCCCTTGACAAGTAAAATCATCTGCCGTAATGCTGTTAGACAAAATAAAATAATAAAGTAGGGCACATCAGGGCACAATGCGACTTAATGGGTTGTTGGGTGTAAGTTGTTTCTCGCACAATACCGAATATTTGGTTGGCATCTAGTCTGCCCATTTCATTGCTGTTATCCAACTTTTTAGCCGGCTGAGATTGGTTATAGGAAATCTAAATAGTGTGAAGGGAAATATCTATTTTTGGTTCACTGATGTGAACAAAACTCACCTTCAACAGGACAAGGACCTCTATGAAAGTTATTGTCAACATGCATATATATATATATATATATATATATATATATAGACTCCTAACACAGACATCAAAACAAGAAGTTCTTTTTTGTCTAATGTTCTTTTACTAAAACTGCAAACAGTTTTATATTGTAGCCAACAAGCTCAAAACTAAATTTGTTGTCATTATTGTATTTACAAAACAAATTGTTTTTATGCTATTAAAAGCTGTCTTATTTTAATTAATAGTCTTATATTATTGTTTATATGAAGTTTATTATAGTGTACAAATATACGATATGTGTGTTTCATAGACTTACTTATGGAAGGACAAGCGAATACCATCTTTTAAATCCCCACGTCTGGCCTTGCAGTTATACTCAGCACACAAAACAGGCCGAGATTCAAGGCATTCTTTTCGATAGAAAAACAGATTTTTTAGAATAGAATGCCCTAGAATTTTCAGATGAAAATACTGTATCTTGGTCGAAATAACAATGAAAGAACAAAATAAATAATAGTAACTTTTGGAATAGTCAGATATACGTTACATTACTGTAGAAAAACTGGTAAAAGACTCAAGGAATACACAGGAAAAGAAACCAGCCCGGCAGTTTCGCGCCATTTTCGTCTTTGCCCATTCTTGCCCGGTTGAATTTTAAACTGTAAATCGTACTAATTATAACAAATATACATCCAAAACTTTTACACCAGTTAGTTCTTCCAAAAAAAAGGTGGTTCAACGGAATCGGAAAGAGTAGGACGACGTAAAATGCAAAAAACATGGTTTTTCCCTATCTCGCTCTATGATTTTTGACCGGTTGAGCCGCCATCTTGGATTTTCAAATTTGGCGCGCCTCTTCAGCCGAGTCAGCAATCTAGGTCTCCTATATCTATGATTCACCCCCTGATAACATTCAAAATGGCGGACCTCCATAAGTGCACTGGGTAGGACCATGGCGTCAGCATTTTGATGACGAATCATGTGGTAGCATCATGTGGCAGCTTCCATAAGTGCACTGGGTAGGACCATGGCGTCAGCATTTTGATGACGAATCATGTGGTAGCATCATGTGGCAGCTGGCAATGCTTTGCAGGTAATCCACAACCAAATTTCAACTGCAATGCTTTGCAGGTAATTCACAACCAAATTTGTTAATTGTTCTGAAACTGCAATGCTTTGCAGGTAATTCACAACCAAATTTGTTAATTGTTCTGAATATAGTACTAATATAGTGATGGGTTGTAGGAGGTATTTGAGTAGTTGTAATGAAATAACTTTGCAATACTCTACCAATAAAAAGTTATATATTTGGCCAGCCTACTAGCCATAGGCTCTCTCTCGCACGCACTATGCTTGGTTCATAGGGGTACGAAGGGGTACTTGTGGGTTATTACCCATTCTAATAACAAGTAGGTTTAACTACTGACATGTAATTTTAATAGTTTGTTTGGCCAAGTAAAACAGTGAATGCAATGTTTTAAAGTTAATATCTCATTTATTTCAAATGTCAAACACTTAAACCGTCTGGACAAATTACCAAATATTGTAAACAAACCAAATACCGTAACCTCCGATTAAAAGCCCTGGGCTTATATAAGTTCGTAAGCATTTGTTGATGGGTTTATACATGGGGGGGGGGGGGGATATACAAGGGCTCACATCAACATATTTATATGATTTAATCGAGAAAAGAACGTCTTTTGCCAAAATAGATCATTGCTAATTCTCACACTATAACTACAGTATTAAAATGTGCACCAATTCAGGCACGATATTGCTCTATTTTTACCCCCATTAAACCAAATGCAATATATTCTATCAGTGCCACTTGATCTATCAGCAGCAGTATTAAATAGAGGTCTGTAAAATTTGCAGTTTTATATTTGATATACTGTAACTCTGAGTCACGTGATACCTTCGTACAATGGTTCTCGTTTGTTTTGATGGCAATTGGCTCTCGTGTTTCTGTTTGTTTGTTTACAATTGATGCAAATTTTATTTGAGTTGCCTGTTGCCACACCGTGACCAACACGCAAAGTGTCTGATCAATATGTTGATCAGCTACAAGCGTGAACACAATGATTCCCAACACCAAATATGTACTGTCAGGTTTTAATAAAATCAAACGCGAGCCTATATAAATATAATAGAAGAACAAATCGTCAAATCTCCTGAAAATTCTTCTTAAACTAAAAGGATCGTAGATAATACTTTGATCTTACCTTAAAAAATGAAATTACAAGAAGATATAATTCCTAAAAATCGCAATATTTGCTAAATACTTGCCAACTTGTAAGTTTCACACTAGCTAGTTTCACCCTCGTGCTAAATCTTGGCAAATCCCGAAGAGCAGCCGGTAGCTTCCGTAAAGACCCGTCGAATATCTTCTACGTCACAAAACGTCATAAAACTGAACATCCAAACATTGATAAATCCAAATCATTGTCGCATTCATATAACTCGGTAAAGAGGTCTGGGAACAAATCACAAGAATAGGAAGCTGCCTGCGGCAGCAACTATATTGCTATAAACTCATTTGAGGGAAAGGTTATTTGGCAGAACTACAGCGCATTTTTAGCAGTGACACGAACTCAGACGTACGTCTGACCTCAGCAATATTCTAATGTAAACAAAAGGCCATAAAGAGTATCAAATTTCAAACGCTCTCAATTGTTCAAATCGCGTTTGCAGACGAGTTATATTTCGGTTTTTAGTACTTCAAAGTGTCCTTTTTCCAATTATACTAGTCACTGTATGTAATTAGGTCCCACTTTTAAGAAATTCAGCGTAGAAAATAGTAGGATTTGAAAGCCGTATTTTGACATGGCGTTCTTTGTCGCTAAATATTGTCACAAATGCTCCGCAATTGAAAACCTAAGTTAGTTTAGATGAAATTACGATAGTTTTCCGGTACTGGGTGTGAATATCAGAAATTTTGAACAAAAACTTTTGAAATTATGTTTATTTAAATTCAGCCCATTTTTTTCGTTTAATTAGCCGGCGAATTTCTCCCGCGACGGTGCGAGACCAAAAAATCGCTAAAACTTTGAAACTAAATATATTTTCAAAATTCCAGATAGCATTTGTTTGTTGTTAAAGTAAATGTAGTTCACGGTAAAAGTTTCGAAGAAATTTATTTTTCGAGCCCCAAGTCAGTGGGCGGTTTTTAGAGACACACGCTCTTAAGAGCGAAGGTCCACTAATATCGAGCATCAGCCGGTCACGCTCAAAGTTTCGATTTTGCTCATTTTTGGTTTGCAGGAAGGCATTACCAAGTAAACAAACGTGATGTAGTTTGTTTTTCAAAAAACCGCTAAAATTCTGAGAAATCCGAGAAAAACGATTCAACTGTCGGCGGCCTAAAAAATATGCAAATTTTCAATTGAATCGAAAGGTTAAAAAACAACTAACGCATGCAGAATTGGAAAAGATTTGAAAACTGTACGTTTGTAAATCGATGGAAGAGATGTTTGAGACTCGATTGAGTATAAAATCATGATATTAACTATTAATTAAAACCAGACAGCTGATATTTAGAATCGTATGGTATTCACACATAGCTAAAATTACAATCTACCGTTGCCACGCCAAAACCATTTTAACTAAGTGCCCCAGATTTTTTCTACACGAAACGTACGCCATTAACTAATCAAATGTTCTTCTAGAACATATAAAAAAATTAGTTTGGGTTATTGTATTTAGAGTTCGTACGGAGGCCGTGAATATTGGGTATTTTCGCATATAGCGCGACTGAAATCGAC